TATGTCTGGGGCCCCAGACCTTGCCCACGGGCTGAGTTGTCTTTTGGCCGACACGGAAGTGCGATGTATCTTGCACGACGTTCAGCTGGACAGCATCGCCGGTCTTGCTCTCGCGATGCACGGTCAGTGTCTGGCTGAGATGGTCACTGTTGTAGTATTCGGTGGATGGATGAATCCACCAAGAACCAACACGAGATCCGTAAACACCATAGAAGTCACGGTCTCTGACGGCGTTGGACCAGTCGTACTTGGTGATGTATGACCCGTCTGCAAGCTGCCAGGTCTCATCCTGAACGTTGGTCGACTTTGCATACAGATCGAAATCCGGCAGGGGCTCATCCTTGAGGTGAGTGCGGCCATGAGTGAAGTGTTCCGGCGCCAGCCGCCAGAGGGTTCGCAAAATGCTGATGTTTGGCAGGGCACGGTTGACAAAATACTGGTATGCGCCGGAGAGGTCGTCAAAGATGACCCAGTGGAGATCTCCAGCGGGCGCAGTGAAGCTGACGTCGATAAAGTGTGTACCGCGTGCAGCAATTGTCGCATTGGTGTAACGGAGATTCGACTCCCCGTCTGTTGACCGCCCCGTTAGCTCTGGCTTGGGCACTTGGTGGCCAAGAAGATAATCACATACCATAACCAGTGTAGTGGCCGACGGCGGAGCCGACAAGATCTGCTCCAGGTACACCCTGCCAGAAAAGCTTTGTCGCGTAGACCGGACCTTGTGTAACATTCCAGAAATCGTTACCAATAATCCAAGTGCCGTCATTTAGGGACTCCAAGAATGGACCCTTGGCTACAACGGCTGCCAGGGATCCGGCTAGCCCCCACAGGGAAAGCTTCGTAGTGTACATCGTGATACAGAACTTAATCACTGCAATTGAGCCTGTCCGACACCTCTTGGGATGGTCTAGGAGCCAAGGCTTGATGCTTTATACCCATATCAGAAGCCGCCGAAGGCCATGGCGTTTGTCGTCTACCTCGGTGTACGATGTCGCGAGGACTTCCCAGAGTGCCGAGAACCGGGAATGGCATCATCGGGCGCATACCTGGTTGGCTGCTCTAGCCTATGGCCCAACGCAATGATGGCTCATCTTGCATCAACGGCGAATTGCCGCTTTTTGAGCAGGGATCTAGTCGGAATTCCAGTGCATTGCGCCATATCAGTGGAGAGAGAGGCCCAAAAAAAAGATTGCGTGCGGTCTGCTATCAGTACTTGCGAAGGCGACCCGGGTGCCCTCGTGAAGTTCCAACCGAGGCACGCAATCAAAGGACGCGCATCCGAGCAAGGTCCGGGATAGCTGGCTGATATTTTGTCAGGGGGAGTGCGCATCCGATGTCTCTTTCCCCCCTATACGTAATGACTGATGCTAGAGGCATCCGTAGAGTACGCGAATGCGCCTCTCCTTTCATGAGTCGCAACACCAGTCGCTAGAAGCCTTAGGAAGTTTAACACATCTGTATGTGGATGTTGTTAAATGTCAACTCAATACTAATCGTTCCTTTTCGCTCCAATTTATTGGCTATTCATCTCAGAACAAAGGCCAGAACAACATAGACTCTCCTTGGAATGCAGACTCGGATGTCTTCTAAGGGGTGAAATATGAACAGATGATGTGAAGTCGGAATCTTGTTCAGCTATTGGCCAAAGGCTTGAGGCTCTTAGGGCTGTCAGCTCGTGCAACACGACAGCTGAAGCGCCGTGGGCGACAGTGGGTGGCACATGGTCAGAGAGGCTTGCTGGTGATTGGATCAAGATCAGATGTATGAAATTCTACAAGTTTAATGAGTTTGCTGGCCGGACGTGCGGTCCGAGAATGTGATAAAGTTTATTGGTTTTAAGCGAGACAATCAAGCTGTCAGATGGCGCGGAAGCAAGGCGTTAGTGAATAAAAATGATCCGTTCCAACTACCTCAGAGGCTCAAGTCGTTATAATTCGACAACTTCGGGGAATCTAAGTACGCGGATTGGGGATGAGCCGACACTCACGATTCCAATACTTCACATGACGCCCAGTCAACCATTGAAAGCAGCACCATGCATCTCATGCGAACTGCTGGCTATGATGATTGAACGTATATCCCCGCAGCTTTTCATGCACAAAGTCCGAAACAGGAATTGAAAGCCTTATTATTCTGTGCTGCAGAACCTTCAGACATCAAATACCTACCTAGGCTACGTGCCATACATTGCCTCGTTAGTGTGGCTTGGCGCCGATGCATGCCACTCAGTAGGTGACGGCCTTGAGTGGCACCTGATGGAAAGAACCCCGGAAGATTTATCAATCAAGACATGAAGTCCGTGGCCGTTATATCTTGATGTAGGTGCCGACGATGAAACGGAAGGTCACGGTCCGAACCGCGGGGATTATGGCGCCGCTGCCACTGCATAGCCTCCACCTGCACATCTGCCTGACAAGGGACGTTGGAAAGCCACCACATCGCTATATCCTGAACGATGGACGTTCAGCTTCCGAGAAAATGTACATTTATAAGTGATGAACGTCCTGTTTCCCCTTGCTTTTCCCCGATGCTCGGTACCAGACTTTAGAATCTCTGTTCCAATCAACTGTCAAGCCTGGGCTGATCAAGTCCGCCTCGCCACGATGCTTTCACGCTTGTATATGCTTTTCCTCGCCTTCTGCCAGCTCTGCCTGGCAGCGGAGATTGTTCCTCGAGCGACTTTCTCCGAGGTGACTGGCTTCGGTGCCAACCCGACGAACACCAAGATGTACCTCTGGGTCCCCAACAACCTTGCGCCCAACCCCGCCATCGTCGTCGGAATTCACTGGTGCTCAGGCAATGCGCAGGCCTACTACCAAGGCTCCAACTGGGCTCGTCTTTCTGAGACTTATGGCTATATCGTCATCTACCCGAGCACCGCATACACTGCAAGCAACTGCTGGGATGTCTCGTCGCAGAAGACGCTGACCCGAGGAGCTGGCGGTAACAGTGACTCGATCGCCAACATGGTCAAGTATGTCACTGCTCAATACGGTGCCGACGCCAGCCGAGTGTTTGTGACTGGCATTTCGTCCGGAGCTATGATGACGGTGAGTTCTCCGCCAGCCGCCGTAATTAACGGACAGATTCTGTGAGCTGTTCCCTGTGAAATTATTGAACGCTGATCGTTTGAAGAACGTTATGGCTGCCACATACCCCGACCTTTTCCAGGCTGGTATTGCATATGCTGGTGTCCCCGCCGGCTGCTTCTCTGTTGGCACGACCGAAGCGGGCTGGAACAGCACTTGCGCGAACGGCCAGTCCATCACCACTCCCGAGCACTGGGCCGCCATCGCTCGCGCTATGGCGCCTGGTTACACTGGCCGTCGCCCTCGCATGCAGGTCTATCACGGTGACCAGGACGCGGTGGTGTTCCCCCAGAACTATTACGAGACCGTCAAGCAGTGGGCTGGTATCTTCGGATACTCGACAACCCCCCAACAGACTATTTCGAACTTCCCGCGGAGCCCCTACAACAAATACGTCTTCGGTCCCAACCTGGAGGTATACCTCTCTGTATCTAGCAACCATCAATTCCGGATACGAGCTGACAGGAAGTATAGGGAATTCTTGGTGTCGGTGTCAGCCACAGCATTGATGTGTTTTTCGATGAGGATCTGAAGTGGTTTGGTATCACGGTAGGTTTGGCCCGTCTCACATTATGTTCAGTCACTCATGCCAGCCTCAAGACCCCCGCGACATCGACAGCAGGCCCTACAAGCACGACAAGGTCGACGACCACGTCAACAGTGGCCCCGCCAGTGCCGACCACCATCGCCACCCTCACTACCGCCGTCACGACGACAGCTCGGCCGACCACTACGGCCTCTGTGCAAGCAAAGCGCTGTAAGCAACCTCATTTACTGTCCCGAGTGCCTGTTGGAGAGGAAATGCTGACGGTTTTACCACCGCGCAGGGGGCCAGTGCGGCGGCCAGAACTGGAGCGGCCCAACAGTTGTAAGTACTCTCTTCATGTTGTTTGCGATTGGCGACATGGTGGCTAATTCATGAACAGTGCGAAAGCCCTTGGACTTGCCAGGTCCAGAACGCCTGTAAGAGTATCCAATGGCCAAAGCTGGCCCGTTTGCTAATTACTTGCGTGTTTCAGGGTTCCACCAGTGCCTTTAGAGATATTCACAGTGACGTGTCAAGCCGACGGCTTTGTGGAATGGACATGTCCTAGGCCACTGTCACTTGGGTTGTCGTTAGACGCTCCAGAGGTCACAAAATCTTCAAATATGGCATCAACCACCGTCAATCCTACACCAGCTATATTGAACAACAAGACTAGATTTAGCTTACCTCAGCCTAGAATGAAAAGTCTACCGAGGCCCATCCCATACCGTATAATTCATCGTTGCTGTCCAGCCCACCGGCCAAAAAGTCGTCGAGCCACCCGGTCTCGGTAAGAGGGGAAGAGAAAAGAGTCAGACCCGGGAAGTCCCACTCAAAGACGAACTGCTCTGGAACGAAAGACTCGAGCTCCGTCTGCCCGTCGACTCGGCTTTGCTCCATTTGAATAGTGGTCGGGAGTGAAGGCTCCCCTGTGCGGGTACCACCGTCCTTTTGCAGAGCGTGATGATACTTCTCGATGCTGGCTTGAACAAGCTGCAGGTATAGGCTGCTCGCACTCGCCTTGCTCCCTTCACCCCGGCCACCATTGGCATTCCTTAGTTCGCCAAGAAGGATCCTCCCCTTTTCAACCAGATCCTTATTTGATTGTTGATCTCCGTCATCGGGGAGCAAGAGAGACAGCTTCAGTAGCAAGAGAAAGCAGAAAGCATTCTTCGCCCAGACGAAGTCCATCGCAAAACGCAGCCCGGAGAGGTAGTGGCGGGGCTCCATCAGGATGACTTCGAGATGCTGCCTGAGCGAAGCCTTGGCCATCAGCAGAATCGTCTTCTGGGTTTGAGACATGGCGCGCACATTCTCGACCCCCGATGCGCGGACAGCGCGACAGAGTGCCATGCTATCTGCCCAGTGACGCTGGACGATGAGGTTTGGCTGCAGCCAGGGCATCTGGGGTCTGCGCTGCTCATAGATGCGCGCCCAGTCATTGAACCAAACCTCAATATCAATCTTGGCATCTCGCACCATCTCCATGATATCTTCTTCGTCGGCGTCAGCGCATTGCGAAAGACTGTTGTATATATTTGCCCGCAGGGCGTTGAGTTCCACTTGTGAGAACAAATAGAGATCCATGTCGTTTGAGCAAGGGCTTTCCAACAGGATTCTGGACCTTCGAGCAGCGCCTCGGAACCGGAACGCCGGGAGATCACCAGCATCAACGTGGAGAATGTGGCCCATGACTAACAGGTGAAGCCACGTCCGGGCCTTGCGCATGAGAACTAAATCGTCCTGCGATGCATCGTCAATCGTGTCCAAGCGCGGGGTATTCTTGGCTACGCAGTGAGCGCTCATAACGTCGTAGGCCTCAGGCAGGCCCACTTCGAAGGCCATGCGCGTCGCGATGGCGATTAACAGAGACCGCTCATTCACATAGCAGGCTCGGACAAGGAGTGCTTGTATCGTTTCTGGAGTGGCCTTTGTTGGTGTGGTGATCGCAGCGTTTAGCATTCGTTGGGTCTGAAAACTGAGGACGTGCCATTGACGTGAGTCGGCTCCATTGACCACTCGGCAGCCTACGGAGCAGATGGCGCCGAACAATAGACTGCTTCGAGAACGAATGGATTCCATTGAGTCGAATCGGGGATCAAACACCGGGACGAACCGGTCGCATCCTGAGAAGAAGGCTGCCCAATATGAGGTGGCATCCTGGTCCGTGACTAGGCCTGCTTCAATCAAGTCGGGCACAGCGACGGCGCCCATCTCGAAATGTGTGCGCTTTCTCTTCTGCCCCTGCGTTGGAGGTGGTGGTAAGAGCGACACATTGGGGGATCCAGAGCTCGAACCTGTTGGTCGACGTGGTAAGCTTCCCAGAGTCGGGGGGTTGATGACAGTGGCCGGCGACGTGTGCGTGCTGATGGGATTCTCGGGACCTCCGATCTGATCTGGCGATCGGTACTGGATGGGCATCTGCGCGGCCGAAGGTGAGGACTGAGACGCTGGAATGGCTTGCCATGTGCCCGCTTCTGTTCGTTTTTCGAGTCGTTCCTTCAACGACCCGATCTCCCTCTCCAGGTCTTCGATCCTTCTACTCGGAAATGCCCCTGTCAGCTCGCTTGTCCATTTCCAGCAGCATTCGGTCCAGGGGCAATTCGACCCCAACGTACATTTCGTTCGCGTCCTTTGGCCGTTCAGTGAACGTACAGACCTTTCGTAGGCCATGGCATCTGTCACATCCGTCAGCCAGTCAGAAAGAGATGATCGAGTTGCGATGGTCCGAACCGTGAGCAAGGGCGTTGCCCATCGCATTTCACCTTGTAGTTCATTAGTAAAGCTTCTGAAGAATCGACAGGGAATCGTACCTTGGATTGGCGACATGCACCGCAGGCTTTCTATGATGACAGTGTCAGTCCGCCTCCCATCCCTATATCTATGAGTGCTCCAAAGCGTACGCTCGTGGAGTCAATGGCTCAACAGTCGCGAGAACCTTACCGGGATGCGCTTCTTTCTAGGCCGTCGAGATGATCCCCCATCTGTGAGCTCATCAGCTTCCATAGTGGCCGGCGCGGCGCCATGGGAACAGCACTGATGGTGTGGTTGTCTGAATGAGGATGGAAATTCTCCGATCAGTCAACGAGACCATTCCACGTTACCCCGCGTCACGGTTGCATGATGTGGGTCTTTCTTTGCTCCAGCACCCAGAGGCTGGAGATGGAGAATGGTACCCCTAGAATACAGTGACAAAGGCTTGAGATTGCCCTGGAGATTTGCCTCTATGTTTCGTTCGACGGCCTAGGGTACACATATGAAGTCCTCGTTTTTGAGATGGTAATAAAGGTCGAGATGACCATCAAGAGGCGGTTCAGCGGCCATGTTCTTTAATGTCCATGTCAGGGAGAGCTCAAGAAACGATGACCGCCGTCGCATTGGCGAGCGGGCAGCAAGGTAGCTTGTCCCAACCGCTGGGCATCATCTCCCAGCCAACGTTCCCTCGTTTCTGCCGATGCCCACTGTAGACTGTCGAGAGGAACAGGTCGATCTGACAGCGAAGAGCGCCGAAATACATTCCACTGCTACTCATCAAAACGAGCCGACTCATCATCGTCGCGCCGCCTTGCCGTTCCCGCACCGGGCCGCCGTATTACCCCGCGTTCGCGGAAACAGGTCCAAGAGAAGCCGGTCCCTGGCCTTGTTACTCGACTGGTGGAAGAGGATTTTGAAGAATTCGATGCCCGTACTTTGCAGACATCCTTCCCTATTGTCGGCCTTGCCGACGTCGAGGTACCCTACGACGACCCCGCCGATATCTTCAGCATCATACCGCAACGTGTGCTTGTTCACGGCCAGTTCTTTTTCTACAAGTCGTCTGTGTCGACCGAAGCTACCCCAAACGAAATCGGAAATCGGAAAATACGACAAGATCGCCGCCTCCGGCCTTTCCTCTTCTGAGCTCCCTACTTCACGGCTCTACGCCATGGTCGTCGGCTCTAAGGGCAGGCTGCGCGGCCTGATTTACCACTTCATCAAGTCGGAAGAGCGGCTTACGTGGGCTGTTGACGAGCGTGCTCCCCTTGCTCTTCGGGAGAAATGTGCGGCGCAGATCAAGGATACCGTGGCCAAGCTGCATCATCTGGGTGTCGTCTGGGGCGACGTCAAAGCCGACAATGTTCTCGTCGACGAGAATGGTAATGCCATAGTCATTGACTTGAAGGGCGGCACCACACAAGGCTGGGTTGACCGGGAGAAGGAAGGCACTGTGGAAGGAGACGCACAGGGCGTAGAGAATATGATGGACTTTATCTTTAATGATGAATCAATGCTCCGTCCCCCGCCTCTGGGGCCGGACGATGAGCCTATCGTCAAGCTCAGAGGTTATTGATGGGCTGGCTGCTTGATGAGAGGAGTAAGAATCGGGGACTTAGGAATAACAAAAGCAGACCTCGACGCCCCTGCGATGCATGCTCATCTACAGTCAATAAGCAGGCTGCCACTACTTATCAGCTGGGATCGGAGAAAACTAATAAAAGCCGATCCGCTCCACATGGCGATCCGAACTCCGTCGGAGAAAAATCCCGAAATGCGACTCCATCCTGGGATCGTGAGGGGACGTCTGACGCTACGCGCGGGGTCAAGTTGGGGTTCAGCATGGCACGGGTGTACATGTTGAACGATCAATGGCTTGCCATATCACAAATCGCTTCGGCGTTGCCGGCGTAGCAGAGACCGAGTCACATTCAAAAGGGAGGCTTGCGCCCTCTCTTGTTCCTGTTGAATTAGAACCGAGCTCTCTTTACGCCCTTTGCTTTTCGTACTCGAGAGACCAGCAGAAGCCACATCACCACCATGCCCCAGAACGAACTCATCCCGTCTTCCTGGACGGTCGAGGCCTCAACAGAAGCTTCGGATAACTCTCCTTCTATTCAGTTGACCTCGTCCAGCAATGGCGCTCCGTTCAACTTCAGCTTCGAGGCTGTCCGACCGAACGTTTTCAGGACCACATATACCTCCGAGAGCCACCCATTGCCTCCTCACCCGAGCATACCCCGCCCTGAGATCATTCTTGGGGAGACGAAAGCCTCGATCCAGTCGACTGGAAAGAGCAAGACAATCAGCATCGGGAATGTATCCGCAACAGTAAACTATTCTGGCGAGACCCCTCACTTGGCCATCAACTTTGACGGCCAGGAAGAACCCCTCCTGCAGGACGTCCCAAACCGTTCCTACACAGTCGATGGACCGGGGATTGCTCATTACACTCGCTACAACCGTGGAACTCTCCACGTCGGCCTGGGAGAGAAGGCTGCGCCCATGAATCTATCAGGTCGCCGCTTCCAGCTCTCCGCGACCGACAGCTTTGGTTATGACGTCCACCGAACCGACCCTCTCTACAAAAACATTCCCCTGCTCATCAATGCTACTCCCAAAGGCTGTGTTGCCACCTTCTCAACAACGCATGCTCGCGGAGAGTACTCTGTCGGCTCTGAAATGGACGGCATGTGGGGGTTCTACAAGGTTTACCGCCAAGACTTCGGCGGCCTGGAGGAATATGTGATTGTCGGCAAGACGCTGAAGGACATCGTCTCGACATATGCCAGCATCGCAGGATATCCTCTGCTGGTCCCTCGTTGGGCTTTTGGTTATCTATCTGGTGGCATGAAGTACTCTATGCTGGATGACCCACCTGCAAGCGAGTCGCTCCTGGAGCTCGCCCGCAAAATGAAGGAACACGACATTCCATGCTCCGCGTACCAGATGTCCTCCGGGTACACCGTGGCTGAGAAGGAACCCAAGACGCGCAATGTCTTCACTTGGAACCGCCATCGGTTCCCGGACCCTGAAGGCTGGATCAAGGAGTACCACAAGTTGGGCATGCGTCTGATCGCCAACGTTAAACCGTACCTCATTGCCAGTCATCCCGGATACCAGAAACTCAAGGCTGCTGGCGGCCTCTTCACTGATCCACGCACAAAACAGCCTGCTGTAACCAAGCTGTGGAGTGCCGGTGGTGGTGAGAGTGACGATGGTGGCCACATTGACTTCACTTCCGAAGCAGGTTTCAACTGGTGGTACGAAGGTGTCAAGACTCTAGCGCAGCAGGGTATCGACTGCATGTGGAATGACAATAACGAGTACACAGTCACGGATGACAACTGGGAATGTGCGCTGGACCAGAAGTCCATGCAAATCCCTCCTGGTCTTGAAAAGAGGCCCCAGATCGGCCTCTGGGGCCGCAGCCTGCACACCGAACTCCACGGGAAGGCTTCGCACGACGCATTGCTTGAAGTCAACCCCGACGAACGTCCTTTCGTCCTCACCCGAAGCGCTACGGCGGGGACGATGCGTTACGCCTGCAGCACCTGGAGCGGAGACAACACAACCAGCTGGCCCGGCATGAAGGGCGCCAATGCGCTATCCCTCAACGCTGGTCTCAGTCTACTCCACTGTTATGGCCACGACATTGGCGGTTTCGAAGGCCCCCAACCGTCACCGGAACTACTCCTTCGCTGGGTGCAGCTCGGCATCTACTCTCCTCGCTTTGCCATCAACTGCTTCAAGACAGGGACCGACAACAGTGTCGGCGATGTTATCGAGCCCTGGATGTACCCTTCTATCACACACCTCGTGCGCAAGACTATCAAGAGGCGTTATGCCCTGATCCCTTACATCTACTCCCTGGCACTGGAGAGCCACGTGTGCGCAACTCCTCCTCAGCGTTGGACGGGCTGGGGCTACGAATCTGACCCGGAGGTGTGGACTAACTCTGTGCTCACCGACGGAGAGACGCAATACTTCCTTGGAGACTCGCTTCTCATCGGCGGCGTGTACGAGTCTGGCGTCAGCAAGGCGCGAGTCTACCTCCCCAAGGGGTCGGAGGAAGACGAAGGGTTCTTGAACCTCAATGCGCCCTATCAATACTTCGTGGCAGGCCAGTGGGTTGACGTCGATGCCGAATGGCACGGCTCTGGCATCGCCGTACTGGGCAAAGTCGGCGGCGCCATCCCGGTCGGTCGTGATTTCCAGGTTCTTTCGCCTGGCGAAAAGGAGAACGTTGCCAACCTTCCCCTCGATGATTATAGGGCTGTCGAGATCCTGCCACCGCAACACGAGTCCAAGGACGGCAAGTGGCACGAGACGACGTGGTTTGAGGACAATGGCGTGTCAGTCGTGACCAAGAACAAGATCTCATCGTACACCATTGCCTATTCCGCGGCTGCCAATGAGATCAAGGTGAAGTTCACTAGAGATGAGTCTTCTGGATTTGAGGCTCCCTGGCAATCTTTGGTTGTCATTTTGCCATCTGGCGATCAGAGGACATTGGTGAGCTCAGACGGCAAGGACATCAAAGCGCTGGGCGTGGATGAGCAAGGCCGCCACAAGTTCGAGCTCAGCTGAACGTAGTGTAGTGTAGTAAATCCACTGAATTTCCAATAAGTAACTTTTATTTTGATGTTTGAAGTTTCGTCTCACTGAAATGGGAGGAATGCACTAGATGGTCAAAAGTAAGGTTCCCGCACTGGGTCAGAGAAAGCAGCATGGTAAAATCATACTGTCATCCCTCCGAGCTTTGATCTGATGTCCCTTTCAAAAGGAATAATGGATATCCGCCGAAAGCACTTGAGTTTTAAGTAGCACGGCACTTACAATATTATTCTTATCAGTGGCATCACCATAGCACTGAAAGAGCAGCTATGCAAAGCCGAATGAAAGACTCTCGATGCTGCCATCGATGTAGTGTGATGGAACATCCTCGTTTTCTTGTCCCAAACTCACTCGAAGGCCCATCCAACCAACTGCGTTAGTTGACACCGAACAGATCCCAGGAATCATCATAGGTTGTTGCATCCAGCCGGAAAGTCACCGCTGACTCTCAAACTCTTTGTTCGGCATTAAGCAATGGGTGAAAACTACTATAACCTTCTGCTCTGGCTGGGACTTCTGAAGCCGACGACCTGACCTTACCCATCAGTTGTCTTGTGGTTACATACAAGCCTCCTAGAAAGCCATCTTAAGCTTGAGCTTGTCCTCTTCGATGATGGCCGATTTCATCTGTAACAGCTCCTCCATGTCCCATGCAGAGCTTGTATCGCCCTGCCAGCCAATCGTGACGTCCAGCAATCAGCCACACAATAGTATCACCTGCAGTTTCCTGCTTATCTGGTAGGGTGCTTCGTAGATGTTCTGGCAAACCACCTTTAGTAATCTCAGTCTTGATAGCTCCTGGATTGATAGAGAAAGCCAACAGCCCCTGATCAGCGTAATCAAGCTGAATTGACTCTGTCCAGCGTGTAATTGCAAGCTTGGAGGACCGGTATCCCGTGCTCGCTGGGCGGGCACTGAGCGCGCCAGAAGAGGAAACATTGACCATCGTGCAGAGGCCGTCCCCAGATTCGCGGGCCGAACGCATCATGGGCAGAACGGCGCGAGCCATGTTGAAGAGGCCGCCGAGGTTGACTTGCCAAGTGCGCCAGTAGATATCCGGATCCGCGTTGAGAAACCGCTCATATGGCTCCATATGCGCGGCGTTGTTGACAAGTACATCGAGGCGCCCGCTAAAGGCAGCGACCACCTTGTCATAAGCGGCTCTGACGCTGGTCGCATTGGCAATGTCTGTGGTGCAGCTGATAACAAGTTGTTCGTCTCGTCCTGCTTCTTTCGCAACCTGCTTGAGGTCTGCGACAAGGTTGTCAGATACGCCATGCAGGTCAACGACGGCAATTTCTGCAACACCAACCCTAGCGAATGCTTTTGCAGTGGCGAAGCCGACACCTGTGTCCCAAGCTGCGCCTGTGGCCACAGCGTATTTGCCTGATAAGTCCAGCTTCAGTGGAGAGATCAGGTCATATGATGAATGTCGCGTACGGGTGAAGTCGCGGGGCGCGCTCGGGGGCTGTGCTGCCATACTCGGTCGTTTTCTCTAGTCGACCAAAGGATGATCTGCAAAAGGTTGTAGTACGTGCTTGATTGACGATATGCTGGCCATTAACCGCCGAGGATATCTTGAAAAAAAAAACAGCCAGTTCAGCATGCGAATGTCTACTTTGGGGTACGTCCTTACGGTCCAGATCTTTTTCGTCAGTCTCAAGCTTCGCAGCATTACATTCGACGTGTTCTCTGGCCGTCCTTAACGGTTCAAAGCGCGGTTGAATGTTTTAGATCACTAATCCGCTCTCGATGTTGCGATAACATCAACACTTGCCGTCTTATTAGGAGCATGTTTGTCGAGTAGCCAACACGAGAAGCTGCGAGCTTGATTGTCGGACGGCTGTCGCATAGTAATCGACTACCGAGTTTCTGAGAGTGTTTTTGGCTTCTGGAATTGGACATTGTGAATCGCTGCACAGCACTCCACCCTTTGAGGTTCGCTGTACACGTACAATGCAACCCTTTTGAAGAAAACGTCAGCCCCGAGCTTTCGCCCACAACGCACCCATAGCCATCGCAGATCAAACTTACAATGAGAATCATGCTCCGCCCTAGCCTATCTTTCTTATTGGTGTGATCAACTCCTTCGATGGCGTCGTTCTTGCTACCCTTGACACGCTCGTCATGTTTGGGCCTTGGACGCGCCAACGGGGTTAATTCTACCTCGTAAAGATCGTGTCAGATCTGTAGGTGCATTGGCAGTTATTAGACATTTCAATGATTCGTCGCAAGCAGTAACATTGTGAGAAATATCATCGTGGGATTTGACGCTGCCTGAACGGCAACTCTGGTCCGAGGCTTAGGGGCTAAGCCTCGACAGGTTGCAATCTTCGAGATATCTCCAATTTCAGCACGTCAAACACAGTCGACCAGCCATTTGCAAACGAGCGAGCCTTTCTGCGCGCCGATTGATACCATTGAGGATGATGACCATGAATGGAAACTAGGCTGACGAGGCCTGCCCTTCACAGATGGCAGAACCTGGCGTCTTAACGTTTACCTCCTCTCGACCGTAAACAGCATCTGATTCAGGCCATTCATTGACACACAGAGGATGGCGGGACATATTTTCAAGGCGTCGAATCAATTAGAAAAATATGAGATGCGTGAGAGGAGTATCAGAAGATGGACATTCTGGCTTGCCGAGATTCGAGCAGTGTATTGAGCGATCAATTGCAGTCTTTTCGTAGAGCAGGCATCCAATCAATGAGTATGGGCCGTCAGGTGCGAACAGGCCATGCACAGCAGGCTGCGCAAGGCGACGACTGCGAACGTTAGAGCATTCTAGATGCAGACTCGTGTTTCGTGGCTCGTCGGCCGGTCCGCTCGCTTTTTGGCAAGACGAGAAGGTGATGGTCAAAAGGTGCACATGGTTGGAGGTCAGCAGGGAGAAGTTTTTTTTTTTTTTTGATACGGAGACGACGCCTGGGTCACTGTAGCGTACGAATGCATGTCATAAGGATAGATTCGGACGGAACCGGGAAAGCCCAGTTGACGAGTTTTCCGGGTCTGGAGGAAACAAGAGGGATCCGCGGCGGGGGGCGGGGCCAGCGACGGAGATTGGGTGCCGCGAAAGTCCGAGTCGGAGACGGGGTGACGAGAGGCCGTCGAAGATGGGCGGGAGTGTCGAACGAAGCAAACTGGTATTGTCTTGACCAGGTTCTGTGATTGATGGAGGGATGCCGAGAGATAGGGTCAAGGCATCCAAGACATCGAAAAGCAAGTGCGGGCAACATTGTCATATGCCAATGTTCCAATGTGCATCGAACGGGGCCTGGACCTTCCTGTCTGCAGCCTACAGGTTCCTGCCTTCAGCCTACAGGTTCCTGCCTCCAGCCTGCGGGTTCCTGCCTCCATTGTTGTCAGGCAGAAGGAGCGAGAACCTAGAGGGTTCCAAGCGGTGTGGCAGGAGCCAGTCATCCCAAAAAGAACAGAGAAAAAACACCATGTCTCTGATGTGAGCATACGAAAAGCAACGCAAAAAGGGTGGGGGAAAGGCGCACTGCAAAACTCCCACGGCGTGTGTGCTGTGTGTGCTGTGTGTGCTGTGGGTGTGTTCCCGGCGCTAAAGCGCTAAAAGTCAGTGGTGGCTCCAGCGGGCAGCGCCACTAATCTCCTAGTCATGTCGATTTAGTCAGCGGTTCGGCGAGGGAAGGAATTCCACCGACTTGCATTATGCCGCGATAGCATCGAGTGCCGCTTGCTGCGACAGCATCAAGTTCCGCTGGCTCCGAAAAACACAACAGGAGGATGCTTCGGCTGGGAGTTCATCAGCCCAACACTCTGCATTCCAAGTCGACGATGAAGTACCGAAACAAAGCTCGAATCGATGGAACGTTCGGCCAAAACCCGTTGTCAGGTGGCGCGCTTGGCTTGCCGTCACAAGGCAAGAAAAGCCATCTGCCCGCCAGGGCCTCCACCACCGCGCCGCCAGTCAAGCCGATCCCGAAAGAGCACATGTACCATGCAGAGACACCAGCAGGCACCTGTCAGGCTGGTAGGCCATCTGTCACAGCAGGCCCTGACAAGGCAGACGAGGGTCGCATGACACCATCGCCAGAAGCAGCAAGGACCCCAGCACCAGGATCAGGGATGCGGCGGTCCCGTCCTAGGCCCCGAGTCATCCGGCGCCCCGTCTGACTGGACAGGGCTGGCCTCTTTTTTCTTGCGTTGCTTTCGATGGTTAACGATGACGGATGACCCAATGACTTCACCGACCCGCCTCCCGGGGGAACAGAGCTATCCTGCCTTTTTCTTACCTTTCTCGATCTCTCTCCACGGCAGCGCAATCAACCGATCCGCCAACCACACACCTTTGTTGCTGCCGACGCGCCGGGCCTCTCTTCCGTCCTTCTCTTATTTCATCATCATCATCATCGGATTTTCTACTCTTGCTTGCTACCACAGGAAGCAAACACACATCCATCTGTACGACCATTCGCCCATCTGCACGACCTTTCGCCATCTGTACGGCCACTCACCCATCTGATCTGGACGACCTCTCTCCGATCGGCGACACCTACCCCTCGCCGTCCCACACAACGTGCATACCTACCCGCCGCCCCAAAGGTCCCTATTCACCCGCCCTCAACGTTGCCGCGTCGCACACAGCTCGCCCACCATGAGCGAAGCCAACCTCGCCCAACCCATCCAGCCCATCCCCTCCAATGTGTCCACAGTCGACGGCGCCTACCCGGCCGGCCATCTCGGCCACTTGACCGAGCACCAGGACGCCCAGTTCGTCGCCTTCAAGAAGTTGCTGCAGGAACGCGGCCTCTACACGCCAGGCCCACCAGCCTCGCACGATGACCCCACGCTGCTGTGAGTCCTCTCTCGCGCCCTCTGCCCCGTGTGCCGTCGCGCCCTCTGCCCCGTGTGCCTACACACCCTGACGCGAACCCTAGCCGCTACCTGCGCGCCCGCCGCTGGCACCCCGCCGACGCCCTCACCCAGTTCGCCGAGACGGAAGCGTGGCGCACCGCCAACGATATCGACCTCCTCTACAAGACGATCGAGCTGCCGGCCTACGACGCCTCGCGCCGCCTCTACCCGCAGTGGACCGGCCGCCGCGACCGGCGCGGCATCCCCCTCTACGTCTTTGAGATCCGCACCCTCGACTCCAAGGCCGTCGCCGACTACGAGAAGCAGGGCAAGGACGGCAAGGCCATTTCGCAGGCCAAGTCTGACGGCCGCACGCCCCAGGGCCTCGTGCGCCTCTTCGCCCTCTACGAGAACCTGACGCGCTTCAACATGCCCTTCTGCACCCAGCTGCAGGACCGCGAGTTCCCCGGCACCCCGATCACCATGAGCACCAACATTGTCGACATTCAGGGCGTCTCGCTGCGCCAGTTCTGGAACCTCAAGAACCACATGCAGGCCGCGAGCCAGCTCGCCACGGCCCACTACCCCGAGACGCTCGATCGCATCTTCGTCATTGGCGCCCCCTCCTTCTTCACCACCGTCTGGGGCTGGGTCAAGCGCTGGTTCGACCCCATCACCGTCTCCAAGATTTTCATCCTTAGCGAGGCCGAGGTGAAGCCCACGCTCGAGGCCTACATCGACCCGGCCAACATACCCACCAAGTACGGCGGCCGCCTCGCCTACCGGTTTGGCGACATGCCCGTCAACGACCCCGCCTGGGACGGCAACCTGCGCTGGGAGAACGGCCACACGGGCTTTGGCTCGGGGCCCATGATCTGGCGCGACACGGCCGACGGCACGCGTCTCGAGTGCGTCGGTCTCGGCGCCTCCAGTGGCGCCCTGCGCGACGAGGTCATCTGCTCCGTCGCCAAGACGTGGCCTGCCGCTGACGAGGAGGAGGCGTCAACGCCGCGGGAGAACGGTGCGCCCGTCGTCAGCGACGTGGCCGCCGGCGTCGAGGGCCTCTCGGTGACAGACGAAAAAGGGCACCAGCCCGAGATGGCGCCGCCGCTTGCGCCCTCTACGGCGGCGGCATAGAGGTGTGTATCTGGTCTGCGGCGGCACTCCCGCCGTCGTCGAAATGTGTGTTGGGCTGGGGCTTCGCGCAATGGTTGCGGCATGTCAGCGAATTGTTTCTGTCAAAATTTAGATACCTGCTGGCGGCGTGTTGTCGGAGCATACACCGAGGGAAGGCGTGGGGTGGGTGGCGTTCTTTTTGCATTTTTATTCTCTATTCTTCACTGCATGAGCTTTGTCTCGAAATAGTGTTCTGTACATAGGCGCTTGCTCTCGCCTTTTGTGAATATTCTCCGGGCCAATGGCGCCGCTTCCCCAATACATACCACTTTGTCTTCAAGCCGTGGACCAAGTGCCGTACTATCGCGCCGTACTATCGTCCACTTCTGTCCGCCATACGTGCCAGGACCATCATGCAATTCCCCGTCGTTTGCGCCACTCGAGAATACCCTTCTCAATCTCCGCCCACCCCGTGCCGTCGCGCACGAGGTACATAGTGACGCCCAACGACTCGGTATCGCGATTCCGGCTCTCGTCGTCAAAGAAGAGCATCTCCTCATACGCGACCCCGGTCCTCTTGCGTAGCGCCTCAAAGTGCCGCATCTTGGAGCTGGGATACATCTCGAGCCCGCCGTCAAAGAACTCGACCGCCCTTCTCGGCCTGTCCTTCTTCTTGCTGTTGGCCCCCTCGGCCTCGTCGCCCGGCGGCACGGGCGCGACGTGCAGCATGCGCAGCAGGTCGCGCGCGAGGTCCGGCGCGTGGGTGCGCGACGCGACGGCCGTGCGGACGCCGGCGCGCGGCAGTGCGGCGAGGATGGCGGGCACGTCGGGGTAGAAGGCGTAGGTGTCGCCGTGGCGGTCTGTGGCCGACGTGTGCGCGGCGTCGGCTTTGAGGGGCGGCGTCACGTGCGTGTCGATCCAGAAGGGCCAGAGGGTGTAGTCTAGGTCGAAGACGATGAGGGTGGGCAGCGGCAGGGTGTCGGAGAGGATGGCTGGCGTTGAGGGCGGGGGGGAGGATGGGGAGAGGGTTGTTGTGCTGCTGGTGGCGGGGTGTTTGGAGAGTTTCTTTGGCATTTTGGCGTTTGTATGCCTTTTTTTTTTTTCTTTTTGGTTCTCTCGGGTATTCCCTTGTGTTGTGCTCTTTTCTTCCTTCGCAATTGGTGGCGCGTCGTGAGGTTGACGATGCTTGCGGTTGCGAAGAGAGCTTGTGCCCCTCCAGATCGTCAGATCGTGGACCCTGCACGTCACTCCGATGACATAAGCGTGGGTCCTCTGCTTCATTGTCGGCGGCAGACAATGGAGGCGTGGGTTTTGCGTTTCCATGCTGACAGGGGGTGCTACGATGTTGAGTTCGCTGTGCCGACACTCCATCGCCGATACCACAGTGACAACGATGAGGTTAAATGATGAGGTTGCACTCTAGTGACTGCTATCCCGACTTCACATGCACACGGTCAGTACAATCACCGACACCAATGAATCTGTCACACGAATCCTTGTTGCTACCTGAGGGATTCCCTGGCGCAAGCTTCCCGCGGCTATCGAACAAGAAAATCATCGATCAGGCAATCACAGCCGAGATCGTCGGTATCAAGAAGTCACACTCGTCGCAACGGGGCACGTCAGCCTCGGGGGTTCTCCAGATCATGCGTCCTCCAAGCGAGCCTGGACCAGTGCCTTTCTCGCACCCCACGCAGCCGATCGTACCCTGCGCGCCCTGCCATCTCTCTCCCTCGGCCCTGCGGGCGTGATGTCAATCTCTCCGCTCGTTCGTATGTCACGTTCCGGTGCGCCATACGAGAGGCTATGCCTCGCGCAGGCTGGGAACAAGACCCCTCTCCCACCAAGGGCCCCGCCTTGGACAACACAGGACTTCTCTGAAAAGTCGGCTGTCGGTCGGGGGGGCCCTGAGAAGGTGGGTGTGTGCTCCACGGTGTCGCGGAGCCCTTAGAATCCTGGGTAATCAGGATTCTCCTGATAGCAGACTGCAGATTCGGTGCCATTTTGTGATTTTCAACTTTTTTTTTTTTTTTTCGTGTCGCGCCAGCTACAGAATCACAACTCTTTTCGCTGACCTTGGCATCCCTGAAAGCGCTCTGCTGAAAGACTTACAAATCGGGGACGACCAAGGATTAGCGGTGTGATGATGAGGCTGCGGGCTCTTTTTTTGGCGGTCCAGCTGCGGCGCAGATCATGCGGTGCCGACTTTGGGTCGGATCTCGGCTATTCCTCAAGAGAACATGATTCAGTACGTTATTTGCGTAGTTGATATTGTGCGCTTTCGCCGCCAAGGAAAAATAGAACGCCATGGAAATTCAGTCAAGGTTTGTTGATGAAATCGGCCTTTGGCTTGCTCTAGCGTTGTTGCAGTAAGAGAGCGGATAGAAATGCAGCTTCTCTATCCATTGTTTTTGTTGGCGGCTTTGTATTCTCGCGTAACTCCTTGTCGCTCCGGCAGACCGAGAACGATGCTCATATTTTGCTCAATATTCAGCTGCTGTCGTAAAAAGCGTCGTGTCGAAAGTCGTAAAACATGCTGAGGTGGACTGCAAGGAAAGCCTGCTCCTGTCACTCCGACGAACCCGCGTCGCTTGTCGATACGGTAGCCAGCCCGTCGACAGGCTTGTCTCGACGAACCGCGGGTCGAGACAGGAGCCCGGCAGTGTGCCGGCTTCGAGGCGTCGATTCACTGGAAAAGGTCGGATAAAAAGATGAGGCAAAGTCGGAGTCTCGGATTCTGCGAAGCTGTTTTTTATACATGTCGAGCGCCACGGCCAAGGCACCTGGCTGGCTATGATGCTTGAATGACCAGCAGGGTGTCGAGTGTAATCGGTCCAACAATGTTCTTTCGGCACCTTTGTGTACTATGCGGGAGGCCAGACGCTCAAGTCAAAGGCAATAGCTCATATGGTTCAGAAGGAGACCAATCTCTCATTGAAAAGAAAACGCACGCAGCATTTTGTGATGCGGGTTGCGAACATTGCCTCAATAATGCATCAAGCATGCGGACGTACAAGGACACGGCACAAGGAGTTTGGTTCCTACTCCTCTAACAGCCAATGTCACAAGCGAACGGCATCGACTACGTCCCGAGTCACTTAATTTCTGACACCAGTTTCCGTGTCTCAATGCACTCGGTAGAGAACCAAGGGTCTATCTCTACCATCGCAGAGCTAGAAAACCACCGCGCTGCACGGGTTCCCAGAGGCAAACCTGGAGATGCGAGATAGAATGCCCTCACCCAGACATCCCTTCCCCTCTCCTTCGCCACCAAGCACATTCTCTAGGATGAACGGCTTGGATTGACAAGGAAACCCGCCCCAGTGGGCTCTAATACGGAGATTTTCCTGGGGAGAATCATACATGGCTCGCAAGTTTCATCATGGGGGCGCTTCAAAATTCAACGTTGATGGTGGGCTCATGTCATTCATGCTTACTTCGCTCTCGAATATGGAAGCTTTAGGACCGCAAAAGTTTTATCAGTGCTGAGTCAAAAGTTATCGCAGGCGCAGAGTTGCTGTGTGAACGACGCTACAATGGCCAGAACAGATGAACTGACAAGATTACCGGGCCTCGCAGCCTGGCCCTCGCTGCATTGAGCACAAAACCGAGGATGGCCTCCTGGCTTCCTCAGAAAAAGGTTTCTGCTTACGGAGAAGAAACTTTACCCTGTGAATCTTGTCCCCAAAGGTTCAAACCGCATTTGTACCGTCTGACCAAGTACCAGGATGAGCTAGATGTGAGTTTCATGGCTGCCACTGGCCTAACACAAACTCATTATAGTTGACAGTTTGTCTTCTCTGCAGGTGGAAAGCTCCAGTCGGCGGTTCGAGCGAAAGACGGAAACGGCGACGTGAGCACCCGCGAGGAGAGCCATATCTTATTCGGGATGAGATTGCCCCCATCAACAGGGAGAATTACATGGGTACAAGAAGGATAAACACAACTCAAGGCATGGATCAAGGGCGAGACACTGATCGAGAAACTCCGAGCACGCGACATTATGGGGTCTTCTATCCAAGTCGATCAGATCAGGAACACATTCATCATGCAACCCTGCGGACTCCAAGAGCAATCAGAGGCTCACCAAAACCAAAATCAGAAAGCGCAGAAGTTACTCGCCCTCTGAAACAATCAATAGACTGATCGTGTCTCCGGGCTCTCAAAACAAGCGGCATCACAATCGCGAGAACCCATGATGATGCAGTGATCCGACCAAACTCCAGGGTTACTACCACCCACATGAAGTAGAGTTCAGTCGATAAATCATCTCCGCAAAACGGCTCAAGCACTTCCCATGCGACCATGACTTTCACGAGCCCGTTCCGGAAAGTCACCCACCGGCGTCACGGAATGCGCGCTCCGTAAATCTCCTTCGAGCCCAGCCCTTTGCGCCAGCGTCGCACCCGCTCGTCCGGCCCCGGTCAATACGGCAGGCTGCATGATGCCAAGAGACAAAGCGACTTGCTAGGACCGGCGCCATCTCATATCTGAAGACTGGGCCACGGAGCATCCGGAACTCAGCCGCCGGGGTGTTCTTTCGTCCGATGCTGGTTGACAAGCGGGGAAATCTGGGGTCGAGCTTACAATCCTGGTCCCAAAGGATCAGATGTATAGGACAGGATGATTTTTCGGAACAGAACGATCTGCAAAGGACAGTCCGGGCGGTAGATGTCCCATGTTGATATTCGGAGTTTTAAGTGTACTGCCTAAAGTCGCCGCACACCTCAAGATGAAAGCTGGCACATTGCCGGGGAATTTGCTGTGTTCTGATGGGTCGCGTGAAACCTGTCACAGTCAAAGCCGGAGGCTCATGCTGCTCGCCGCTAGAGATCGTCGCCGAACTGGGCCCTTAGAGTCAAGCTCCCATGGCAAACATGGTCTGATGGAGTAACTGTAGAGGCACGTGGAGGCAACCCATTTTAGCCTAAACGTCAAGAGGCTCACTTCCACAATGTCTCTGATCAGACAATATCCAGATGAAGACAACCATGATCCAGCGCCGGAAACGATCATGTAGAGAAAGAACCAAAAGCGCGCTGGATTCTCAATCTTGGTACCAGAAGAGCCCCTCAACAATAGCTGGTGGAGTATAAAGACGATGGATCACGTTCCTTTGATAGACAGCTGAACAGAGAGCCTCACCAGCAAACGATTCTCGATTATTCCCGCTCCAGACCACCCGTCATGAAGACTCTCGCAACGGCCCTCCTTTTCGCCGCATCGGCAGCGGCTCAGGCTGGCCCCTGGGCCCAGTGCGGCGGCCAGGGACACACAGGTGCAACGACCTGCGTCTCGGGACATTACTGCAGCGTCATCAACGCTTGGTATTCGCAGTGTCTGCCCGGCACGGCTCCCGGCGGCCCCCCTCCTCCGCCACCCACCACTCCCGTCCCTCCTCCACCCCCTGTGACGACTGCCAGCCCTCCGACTACTACCCCTCCCACCGCGCCGCCGCCGCCGGTGACACCCGGCACATGCCCTGCTCTGCCCAGCGGCCTCGGTCCCGCAAACGCAAACCTGCCCAACCCGTTCGTCTTCCAGAACGGCGCCGCTGTCACGACCAAGGCCGATTGGGCATGCCGCCAGCGCGAGATCAGCGCCCAGATTCAGACGTATGAGCTGGGAACCCTTCCCGGGAAGCCGCAGTCCGTCACGGGATCCTACTCGGGCAATCGTCTGACGATCAACGTCTCGGACCAGGGCCGGTCCATCTCTTTCGCCGTGACCATCAACAAGCCCAGCGGCACGAACGTGCCGGCCATCATAGCGTATGGTGCCGCCAGCATCCCGGTCCCCGCGGGCGTCGCCACCATCACCTACAACAACGACGAGGTCGCCCAGCAGCAGGGCGGCTCCTCGCGCGGGCGCGGCAAGTTCTACGACCTGTACGGCAGCTTCGCACAGCGCGGGCGCCCCTGACGCGTGGCGTGGGGCGTGCCGCGCATCCTCGACGCGCTCGAGGCGACGCCGGCCGTGGGCATCAACGCCGCGCGCGTC